GGTTAACATGGTAGACCAGGTTAACATGGTAGGCCAGGGCCAGGCCAATTTTGGCCTGATATTGACCTGCTCTGGTCTAAATTAATAGTAATCCTAGTTATCAACAGTTCATAATCTATAGCTAATCAGAATCTAGACTAGGTCAGGTTTAACAAAACCCAAGCCATAAGTAAAGATTGATCCCTGACCTGACGCATCCTAGAAATCTGGTTCTAGAACTAGCCCTGGTTTCCACCAATTTATGCAATAGCTTTCTAAAATTGAAATCTCTCCAAAACATGGATCAATCTCTAACTTGAACATCAAAACTCAAAACTTGGAATTTCTTTTCAATAGATTTGAGCTTCGATCTCCGAACCCTTAGCCACTGAATTTCCACTGAATTTCCTTTAATTACTTCACACAAACCACACAAACACCCTCCAAAAACAAGATTTCACGAAAAATTTACACTTATTTTGCCTAAATTCTTTCATCTTTTTGTGAAGTTTTTTAAAAATCGTGAAATGGACAGCTGCAATTCGCTTTTGCGAGCTGATATCGACAAAATATTATGGCGTGATCGTTTTTTAAAAAAAAAAACATTTTTCTATTTGCATCTTTGATCTTTTGCTAGCATCTCTACAAAAATAGGGACCAAAATTTCAGTGACAGAATTTTGTTTGAATGTTTTTGTTGTTGTGGATGGAGAGGGGAACGTCAATGATTCATACTTGGGTTTCGTTAAAAGAAATGCCAAACAGAAAGGACAAAAGTAGAATCAGTGAAACAGAATTGGAGGGATTTGAAAAAAATCGAAAAGATTTATAAATGACTTTTGGTAGGTTGATGTTTGCTTGAAAGTTTGCTTGAAAGTTTGCTTGAAAGTTTGCTCGTCTCTATGATGTCAGGACTTGTACTTGTACTTGTACAGGACTTGTGCTTGTACTTGTACTTGTACAGGACTTGTACAGGACTTGTACTTGTAGTTGTACAGGACTTGTACAGGACTTGTGTGCCCGATAATCAAAATTCAAAATTTACCAACTATTATGACACTATTATAAACGATTAGAACAATCATTAGGTTGAAAATCCTTTAAAAGTTTGTAACCTTTAATGCTCAGAAACTAGAGGAATTTTCTAAGCATGAGCTGGCTAATATAGAGTGCAGAGAAGAAAAGAACCTAAAAAAGGACTGTTCAGCAAATGGACCGATTCGGAGAGACAAAATGATGAGGGAAAGCGGAGTGACTGCATCACATTGATGTGAGATTGCGGGGGGAAATAGTCAGTGTTTGATCTTCGAGGGAAAACCGATCGAGTATCGGTGAAGAGAAGGACCAACGACAGGTCAAATAGCGGAAATAGCTGAAATCTCGTCACTTTTGACGGAAATGATGATTAAAAAGGTTCCACGTGACCTGGTACGCCTACACAAAAAATGGAGTGAGCTCTTGAAAGTTCAAGTTCAACAATAGTTTGAAGTTTGAAAAATTGACTGAATTTCAACTAACTCATCCACTCAAATACCTATCCAAAACCTAGGTACTTAAAAGTTTTGCCATTCTGTAGCTTTAGACTTAAAATAAGGCCAGATTAGTCTCAATATGACCCAAAATAAGACCAAACTAAAGCCATGAAAGTACAGGTTCAACTTTATATTGTCAATGATTCAAAACGCAGACCAAAGAGGATGAAGATCCTTCTAGAACTTCTAGAACTAGAACTAGAACAAGTTCAAGTAAAAAAAAACCATCGACACTACAGCAAATACTTCATTCATTAAATCAGCCTAATTCTGAACTATTTGAAGGTTTATCACTACGGTATTCTATGACTTTAGATCGATAGTTCAATAACTACAAATGAATTGTTATTTTCTAACTTTAAATTTAAATAGTTTAACACCTTTCAACCTCTCTTCAACCTACTACAAGACTACTCACACTACAAGAAGCACAACTCTTCAGCTTCAGCTACTCTTCAGCTACTCTTCAGCTACTCTTCAGCTACTCTTCAGTACAACTCTTCTCCACAGCTAAAGTTAGCCTCTTTTAATTGACATACAAGTACAAACACTTAGATTAATAGCAAACTATAATTTTTTTTTTTTTTTTTTTTTTTTTTTTTTTTTTTTAAAAATTAGGGAAAGTTTTTTAAAAAAAAAAAAAAAATTAAAAAAAAAATTTTTAAAAAATTAAAATAAAAAAAAAAAAAAAAATTTTTTTTTTTTTTTTTTTTTTTTTTTTTTTTTTTTTTTTAAATTTAAATTAATTTTTTTTTTTAAAAATTTTTTTTTTTTTTTTTTTTTTTTTTTTTGTGATAATAGAAAGATATAAATCTTTTCCATTTTTTCACAGCTAAAGTTAACCTCTTTTGCTTGACATAAAAGTACAAACACTTCGATTACTCTTGCAAAAATTCTATCTTTTATTGTTTCTGAAATTTTAGTGACATCACTTTTGAATTAACAGTTGGACCTTTTCAAGTCACGTGGTTGACTCAAATTTCTTTCCATCAACAAGTCCAACAACAAATCACAGAGTTCAAAAGTCAAAAAGGAAACTATTAATAGAAAGATATAAATCTTTTCCATTTTATCAACAAATAAAACTATAGTATTTGGCTGAGCGCCAGAGCTTTTCCCTGTTTTCTGAAAGAGACGCATCACTCGGTTGATTTCGAAATCGGGAATTTAAATTTTCTCGAAATCTCACCCGGAAATTTTTGTTTTTTCAAATTTCGAAATTTCCAATCAAGGATTGGGGAAATGTTTTCATGATCAAGTGAAACAAGGAAGTAAATACATCATTGTTTACAATGGAATTATTGCGAAATAGATAGATTTATCTTATCATGACAAATTTAGATTTAGAAGCTTTACTTCAGTACTTTTGCTCTACAAAACTGGTAAATTGTTGTTAGACAATGGTAAATTGTTGAAAGACGGTTAAATGAAACTTGAAAAATCAAGCTTAATGGCTGTAATCTACTTGTTGAAAGATAATTAATTGATAATTGATAAAACTCTACTTCCAAGTCTAATAGTGAGTGTGATTTTGCTGTGAAATCTAGAGCTGAATATCTTTTTACTTCTAATCTTGTCAATGTCAATGATGTTGTTAAATCAACAATGTTATAACATTGTTGATTTTAGTCAGCTTTTCAACTGGCTCAATAGAGGCTCATTGAGCCGACGGAAGACCGGAAGTTCTCGTTGAAAGGGAAAAGAGATGGTTGGGAGAACGTGCGCAGATCTCTCCTCACCCATTTGGGGAAACCCGGGCTTGCTGACTGTGCAAGCACAATAGATAGTCTTGTGACGACACAAGGCAAAAGAACTTCTTGTCTTATTCAATTTTGCTTTTGGAATGAGCTCTCACGCGCTGATCTCTTTATTTCTTTATGAAAACGAACAGAGATCGATGACTTTTTCAATTTAAAACTATTAGTCAACTTTTTGTTCTCAAAGTTTTATTGATCTGACTCTTTGATCATTCAAAGCTAACCCTCAATTCTCAAACTTTTATCAAACTTTTATTATACTGCCTAGTTTTCACTAGAGAAACAAGCTTTAAATCGAAATTAGATTTACAAGAATTTTCTTGTCTAACCAAGCCATAGGCTCATTTAATCTCCAGTCTATTAATCTATTGAGGATTTACACTAGCTTTAGTTCATCCAGCCTGCATTGTGGATTGCACGTCATTGTAAATAGAGTGGATAAACTAGACAAAACAAAGCTGCTATGGAATTTTGATTACTCTATGGTCTAATCTTAGTCTGTATTTTGATTACTGTATGGTCTAATCCCATCAGATTTTCCTTGATGAGCTGTTTTAAAGTTAGAGTTACAAGCTTTGTTAACGGACAAGAGTTCTTCTATCTGACAATTATCACAGGTAAAGTTAACAGCTTGCTAAAGAGCAAAGCGTCTACTGTACTTGTCAGAGAGAAGATCAAAGCATCAACTTTTAATCACTTCATTTTTTTCTACTTGATGGACACTGAAAAGACCAAAGCTTAGCATTACACAAGATGGAGAGAAAGGGAAAATGGATGTCCGATGAGGGTTGAGGGTCAGTTGTAGGTAGAAAATGAAGAAAAACGGGGAGACTTATTGCCCATTGAAAAGAGAAACACTAAAAGAAATGGAAAATTGATAAAATACGGGAATCTCAAGGCTGTTTGATGGGGGAATCCCTGGGCTTTTTCTGATCAAGAAATGAGGAGAAGTTGGTCAGGGACGGTCGATTTATCTTAGAAGTTTAAAGAAATAAAGACAAGAATTGAGAAAGATTACGGTAGATTCCTAGAAGAAATTGTCAATAGAGTGGATAAACTATACAAAACAAAGCTGCTATTGAATTTGGATTACTGCAAGGTCTAATCTTAGTCTCATGCAGAAATCAATGCTTAGATAAATCAAGATTGAAACGTGATGAGACTATGAGATAAAGAACTTGAAATTATAATTGTAAGTACCAGTTTGACACCTTAATTGCTTATCGTAAATATTCTAATAGAACTCCTATTGGACCCTAAGTTTACTCTCAAACAATCGCTCAGAACTTGACACCAGTACGTTTGTTTCTACGTGCTTAAGTATCTAAATTAATAAAGAAAGAATGGAGAATTTTTAAAAATATAACAAATATTGTAGCCAGCGTTTAGAATAAAATGATTGAAAAGTGGCAAAAAAAAATCGATCTTTCATCATTTTTCAATCAAGTGAAAACCATCTTTTTTGCCACTTTTCAATCATTTCATTCTAAACGCTGGTTAATGCTAAAAGTACGTTTAATAGCTTAAAAGATTCCCCATTCTCTGTACTTTAATTTGGTATTTAAATGCAGAGAAACAAACCTACTGGTGTCAAGTTCTGAGCGATTGTTTCAGAGTAAACTTTGGGTCAAATAGGGGATCTCTTCGTTTTTACGTTAGATAAAAGTGTGACTTACTTAAAGAAACTTAAAGTTTTACTTCTGAAATACTTTATATTTTAAAAATTGCCTCACCTAGCGCTTGCTTGTAAACCGCCTGGTTGAAATCCTTTTGTCATCGCTGATGAATCCCATAGCCCAGAGAGAACGTGATTCAACGATGGGTGCTCTGAAATTCTAGCTATAAATGAAGAACTTTTGTTATCAGAGCTATAGATCTAAGCTATGCGAATTGATAATTGATCTTATATTCAAATTAATAAAGCTTGTGTCTAGCTTAGGCACCATAATAGTTTTTTGTAGCTTAAACAGCTCTGATCTAGCCTCTGATTCTTAATCTTACAAACTCTTTTAAAGCGTACTGTAATAAAGAAAAAGATTCTAATCATTAAATCACGCAAATCGATCCATTCAAATTGATAAAGCTTGTCTTGTTCTAGCTTAGGCACCTTGATAATTTTGTTAGCTTAAAAGAACTAATCTAGGCTTTGATTCTTAATCTTATACTTCTTAATCTTACAAACTCTTATAAAGTGTACTGTAATAAAGAAAAAGACTCAAGTCATTAAATTATGCAAATTGATATGAGATCTCATATTCAAATTGATAAAGCTTGTCTTGTTCTAGCCTATGCACCTTGATAGTTTTTTAGCTTAAACGGCTCTGATCTAGGCTCTGATTCTTAATTTTACAAACTCTTTACTACTTTTAAAGTGGACTTTAATAAAGAAAAAGACTCTAATCTTTAAATTGAAAGATTTACAAAAGCAGAATCGCATTTGTTACCCTTAAACTTGTCAAAGTGACAAATGTCGTGGAGATCGTCCGAATCCATTAAATTTTAGTAAATTTAGACAAATTTAGGCAATTTCCAGCTATCCTCAAGGATTTTCAGACAAGGATTGCGAATTTCTCGAATTTTTTTTTAGTTTTTTCTTTTGAATCCGTTTATTCTCGCCATGGAAACCAATTTTTGAGTCTTTTTGAGGGAAAAGAGTGGAGAAAAGGAGAAAAACGAGATGATTTGACTCATCTTTTCGCAAATCCATAGATTATCAAAGGAACTATCAAAGGACTTAATTTCCCCCGGAAACTACATCAATTTTATGGAATTTATAGGGAATTTGTCTAATCCGATGTAATGAGTTCAGAAATATTGTATGAATTCGCAAGTTTTCTTAAGAACTAAGAAATAAACTTTTAACTAAGAAAAATAATTGAATAAACAAAAGCTTTGTTTTCAACAAAAATTTTTTCTTTTTTTCATATCAATTCTTTCGTTAATCGTGAAAGCTCCCTGCAAATACTAGTTTGAAAATTCGTAAACAACAAGTTGATCAGTTTTTGTTGAAAACATATTTGCTTTGCTTAATACTTTAGTTTATAATTGGTTTTTTAAGTTAATAGTAAGCTGTTTATTAGGTTGTTCGGATATAGACAAGCGTTGCTAAACTTATTGTTGTGAGAGAAGCTTTTAAAGCATGTCTTTCTGTATTTAAAAGTACGTTATCTTGTGCATATTTGGAATCCTTTTAAATGAATAATTTCTTATTTTTAAGATCTTTTTTCTTGCTTTAGATGACCGACTTCGAATATCAAGTTCGCGTCTGCTTACTTTATGACTTCAGCTTTAGATAACCGACTTCAAATATCACGTTCGCGTCTGCCTACTTTATGACTTCAGCTTTAGATCACCGGCTTCAAATATATCAAGTTCTGCCTACTTTATGACTTCAAACTAGGCAAAAAGTCGCGGAATCCCATCGAGATTTGGTCAAAGAATTTGGGAATGTATTGTCCGAAAGCCGATGCCGAGCCTGGCTCCAAGGCTTTTGGAATGGTGATGAAAGTCTCGAGGATCATGAACACTCTCGTCGACCTCAAGCGGTAGACAACGATATTTTGAGGGCTGCAATGCAATGCAATGCAAATGATCCATGTCAAACGACGCGTGAACTAGCTCAACAGTTTCTATGCTCAAATTCTACTATTGATGAGCATCTCCACGCAATTGGAAAGGCGATACGGGAAATGGCTTCCTCACGAGTTAAGCAGTGTAAACGCTCGTTTATATCCGAGCAACCTAATAGGTCTACAGGTGAATTGATAGGTGATAGCTGAATTGTAGTTGGCTTTTGGCCAAAACAAGCTAGATTTTTGAGAGGACAAGAATTCGAAATCATTGAAAAGTTGCAAAAAGGTAAATACTATTAATTTTTCTTTTTAGTAGTCTTTTTTTTTAAAAAGTTAATAAAGAAATTGAAAAGCTTGAACTTTTCAGTTATCTACAAGATCCAATTTGATTGTAAAAGACAAGAAAAGGAAAAAAAATAGAAATAGAAAAGTTTTAGAAAAACTATGGGGATTTATCAGTATGCTATCTACTTTATTCCAAAGCTATAACTTGAAGAATATCTGACTCTAATCGATCAATGTTTTGAAATGAAAGAAGTTGCATGAAGCTTGGAAGATTTCTTGATTGTAACATTTCAATTTTACTCTTTTCTCTAGCTATTTGTTTAGCTTATTTCCTTTGAAATCTACCTAAGTGTTTCCTTGCGGTGAAATGAAATTGATGCTTCTCATCATCAGTTTCAATCAATTGCTCGGGGATGACCGAAAGGGAGACCGAGTTTCTCCTCATTGAATGAAAAGAAGTCGTTTTGAACAGAATTTTGACGGAATTAAGAGTGAATATGCAGAGGTGGGTTGTGTTTGTGAAATGAAAAAGGTTTTTGAGGCTATTTTTGTCATGGGACAACCCCTTTCTCAAAGGGGAATCGATCGAGGCGAAGAGCCAAAACAACGGCTGGTTGAGAGAGGAAAGAAAGAGAGATTTCAAAAGATCCAGACAATCGTTTATGTTTATTAGATCTTTATTAATCACAAATCTCACTCATTCTTTTGGGACTTAGATTTTGAAACATTTAAACATTTTGAACCTAACAACTTAACTTTGAACCTGTTGCTCCGGGAAATGTTTTCTTTTAGATTACGAAATCGGGAGCTCGGGTAAACAAGGCAACGAATTTCCTGGAAACAAAAAGAAAAAAAAGTACTTTTGCGAATCGGAGAACATGAGAAATTCTTGCATCATGCTTTTTGGAGTTTTAATGAAATGTTATCGCTTTGTAAAGCTTTTTAAAGCTTTGTAAAGTTTTTTAAAGCTCTGTAAAGCTTTTTAAAGCTCTGTAAAGCTTTTTAAAGCTCTGTAAAGCTTTTTAAAGCTTTGTAAAGTTTTTTAAAGCTTTCTTGTACTTGAAACAAGGGATGTACTCAATTTTTCATGTAGAAAATGAGTTAAAAATGGATATCAGACAGATCTAGGGATCAAAACTTGATATTTATTAATTAAATAGATTTTTATTAGGATTTTAAAATAGAATTGATCGATCAATTGATCAGATGAAACTAGAACCCTTTTGAACCAGTTTAACGTTTAGATTTTTAGCTCCAAGCTATTCCTAAATGACTTTACAATAGATATTTCGATAGAGTTTTCTTTTGATTTTGTTTTGCTTTGAAGGTTCACAACAAGCGATCAAACTAACAAAATCAAAAACTTGAATCCTTGACCCTTTGCTTGGCAAACCATTGCACTAGCCATTAGACCACCGATCACATATGAATTATTGCCTTTGCTTGTTTAGAAACGGCTGTGGAAAGCTACTTTAGCCGATAAATTGAGTTTCTTACAAACTCTCGATAAGCTTTCTTAGAAGAACCAAAACTGACATATGATTCTAACATTTTTAATGTCTTGTAAATTTTGAAAACTCTTAAATAGTGAAGATTTTCTCATCGTTAAACAAGAAGAACTGGATGAAATTGGTCATCAAAGTGGTGAAAATGGTCATTTGAAAAGTGAAAAGTTATTTAACTACCTTAATTAGCTGATTTCTCTTCATGAGTTGATTTTACATTCTACAGAGCGTTCAACCTTCATTATTTTTAAAATAACAAGTAGATTACTAGGTTTAGAGCTCATTTTGCACATTTGTTTTTGTGATTCATCTTTTTTTAATAGAAATTAGTCATTTTCCCATTAACAAATCGATTTTAGAAAAAAAATGGATTGATCACTAGGTTTAGAGTTCATTTTGTACAAGTTTAATATTAAAAAGGAAAAAAACTTATCAATCCGCTCAACTTTGACAACTTTCAGTTACTTTTTTTCAAAATTATTGCCTTTGCTTGGTTAGAAACGGCTGTGGAAAGCTACTTTAGCCGATAAATTGAGTTTCTTACAAACTCTCGATAAGCTTTCTTAAAAGAACCAAAACTGAAATATGATTCTAACATTTTTAATGTATTGTAAATTTTAAAAACACTTAAATAATGAAGATTTTCTTATCATTAAACAAGAAGAACTGGATGAAATTGGTCATCAAATTGGTGATCAAGTTTTCTGAATTCTTTTGGTGAAATTTCGTGATCAAGTTCTGACGAATCGATTTTTAAATATCAAATTTAGTAAACTGTAGATATAATCAAGAAATCAAGTTTTTTTTCACCTCCTATGCAGTGTTTTCTTTACATTTTTTTTCATAAGCAAATTCTGAGAGTGCTAAACAACCTGTGATCTCAGGTAGGCCTTTAAAAATGCCTTAAGACTTTATAGCAAAAACTTGTAAGCCATTTTTAATGTGTTTACAATGTTAATAAGCAATTTTTACATCATTCGACTTGTCTTTTCAAGCTCTACAAGATGTGCTATACCATAGCGAGCTTTAACCAGTTCATTTTTAACCGGAACTAGTCCCTAGAGCTATAACTAGTTAACCAACAATCAAAAAAGAGCTATAACTAGTTATTTATTGTTTTTTGAAAATATAACGATTTTTCTGCTTTTTAATCTATCTGCTAATGTTTTCTTTTACTTTTAAATAAATTTGCTTTAATATTTTGTTCAACTCACCATCATCTTGACTCATCATGAGATGTGGCTTCTCGATGTGCGGCTCTGATTTTGATGGGGTTCTAAAATTGAAATTTAAAAATTAAATCAAAAACATAACATAGTTTTTAAAAACAAATGCAGTAATTGACGGGATTGCGCAATTTTATGTTAACAACTACATTTTGAAAAGAAAAAAACCCCCGGGTTGAGCAATCGAATGGTAAAGATTTGCAATGTTAACAATTTTATGTTAACAACTACGTTTTGAAAAGAAAAAAACCCCCGAGATGAGCAATCGAATGGAAAATTTCAAGAAAAATGAATCAATAAACCTTTTTTCTGAAAGCGAAGATCATTTGATCGTTTTGATAATAGAACAATGACTAATTTCTATTTTAAAAAAACGGTTGAATCACCTTTGAATCGAATTTCTTCGTACAAAACTCATGATTGTTTGTAGAGGATTTGAAATTGATCACAGAAAAACAAATAATAAAAGTTGGTAACAGATTTTTGGTAATTTGAGCTTTTTCTGAAGGATTTAGGATTTGCAGAGAGATTTTTTGAGGTCAGAAAAGAAAAAGAAAAGATTTGGATGTTTGGTTAGATCTTAACAGGCAAAAAAGAATAGTGAAAAGAAAAACGGGGAAACGTGAGGACCTAAGCGATGACGAGTGACGAGAAAAAAGGGTAAGCGAGTGTCAGGACACAAAGTCAAAAGTCAGCATCGCTTTTGAGCTCTATAGTGCAATATCAAGAAATCTTTTAAACAGTGACAAATGGAAATTCTTGTTAATGATCTTCAAGTGAATGATCTTTACATTAGAAACTGGGAACTAAGACTACGTAAGTCGTAAGTCAAACTAATTAGACTTTCAATACTAAACCTGGTCTACCAGATAGCATAAAGGCAACAAAAAAGTGAAACAAGAAAAGCAAGAGTTAATCTTTGTTTTTCTAAACCCTTTTGAATCTATCTAGAACAGAATTAAGGAGAAAAAAAGGGTAAGCGAGTGTCAGGGCATAAAGTCAAAAGTCAGCATTGCTTTTGAGCTCTATAGTGCAATCTTCTTTCAAGAAATCTTTCAATCCAAACAGTGACAAATGGAAATTCTTATTCATGATCTTCAAGTGAATGAATACGTAAATGAATAAGTGAATGATCTTTACATTAGAAACTGGGAACTAAGGCTACGTAAGTCGTAAGTCCAATCCAATTAGACTTTTTATACTAAACCAGGTCTACCAGATAGCATAAAGCAAATTTCTAAGCTGAAGCTACTTTAGCGGAAAGCTACTTTAGCCGATAAATTGAGTTTCTTACAAACTCTCGATAAGCTTTCTTAAAAGAACCAAAACTGAAATATGATTCTAACATTTTTAATGTCTTGTAAATTTTGAAAACTCTTAAATAGTGAAGATTTTCTCATCGTTAAACAAGAAGAACTGGATGAAATTGGTCATCAAAGTGGTGAAAATGGTCATTTGGAAAGTGAAAAGTTATTTAACTACCTTAATTAGCTGATTTCTCTTCATGAGTTGATTTTACATTCTATAGAGCGTTCAACCTTCATTATTTTTAAAATAACAAGTAGATTACTAGGTTTAGAGCTCATTTTGCACATTTGTTTTTGTGATTCATCTTTTTTTAATAGAAATTAGTCATTTCCCCATTAACAAATCGATTTTAGAAAAAAATGGATTGATCACTAGGTTTAGAGTTCATTTTGTACAAGTTTAATATTAAAAAGGAAAAAACTTATCAATCCGCTCAACTTTGACAACTTTCAGTTACTTTTTTTCAAAATTATTGCCTTTGCTTGGTTAGAAACGGCTGTGGAAAGCTACTTTAGCCGATAAATTGAGTTTCTTACAAACTCTCGATAAGCTTTCTTAAAAGAACCAAAACTGAAATATGATTCTAACATTTTTAATGTATTGTAAATTTTGAAAACCCTTAAATAATGAAGATTTTCTCATCGTTAAACAAGAAGAACTGGATGAAATTGGTCATCAAATTGGTGATCAAGTTTTCTGAGTTCTTTACGTGAAATTTCGTGATCAAGTTCTGACGAATCGATTTTTAAATATCAAATTTAGTAAGCTGGAAATATAATCTAGAAATTAGAGTTTCTTTCAACTCCTATTCAGTGTTTTCTTGACGCTTTTTTTCATAAATAAATTTTGAGAGTGCTAAACAACCTGTGATCTCGCTAAACAACCTGTGAAAAGTCCCCTATATATTGGGTTGGGGAGAATGAGTCGGCGCCGAAAATCAAAAAAATGTCTAAAACTTCTATTCGACTTCGTCAAATAATATGCGTTTGATATGAGTAGAATGGTTAACTAATTCTCTACAAAATGACATTTAAAAGAAAATTCAAACAGCGCCTCCGCTCAAGAAAAAGCCATTTTTTCACAAAAACTACAAACTGTGATCTAGAAAAAACCATTGGTGGGATCTTCCTGCAAATTTGGCAACTTAAGTAATTGAATGTGCTCTATCTTTTTTATATAAACACCAAAGAAGGTTTATGTGAAAGAAACTGTTCAAATGATGAGTCGGACTCTTTGCCATTTTAACCAGCTGCGTTTGGAAGTTCATAAACTCCACGAAAGAAAAGCTTTGTGGAATCTCTCAAAAGTCATTTTGTAGAGAAATAGTGGATCCTTTTGATGAAACCAAACGTATGTTTAAAGAAGGCTTTATGTGTGCAAAAAGTCCCTTTAAAGTTTGGCGCCGACTCATTCTCCCCAACCCAATAGTATTATAGCATTATCCTAACATTATCCCAATTTCTCATTACTGCACTTTGACTCGTCTACCACAAAACATTCTTGCCCACAACTTCTCTAACTTGTAAGTTTACGGATATAAACCATTTGATAATATTATGCTTGCTTTACAGCTTTTAAGGCAAACCTCAAGAGTACACGGGGATTGACGAGTTGCTCGTGTGTTTTGTCACTTGCTGTCCCATGTAGCGGGAGTTGATGAACGTCCGACTGAAATACTTTCCTTAGAAACCACAATTGCCAGGTCATTCTTGCTTTTGACTTGCTAAAAGTTTGATTAGATCAAAAAAATGGAACAGAAAAAAAAACTGGTACAAGAAAAGGGTAAACGTTGCGGAATGAACAAATTTTTTCCTACAACTCTCCTTTTATATTTTCAACTTGATCTTTGAATTTTAAATTTCAGTTAATTGCACTTAATTTCTCTGTTCAAAGTCATTGTTTTGTTCTAGAATTTTCCAAAAGCCATTGTTTGATCTTTGATTTCTTTGACCCAGAAATGCCTGAAGCATCTTTATCCTCAAAATCAACAAAAGCTGGGATTCTTTAAAGCTTTTTTAATTGATTTTAAAAAATTTCTAGTAGTTTCTAGTAGTTTACTTATCAAAGATCAAACGATCATTTACCTCAGCATCGTGGTGATGCAAGTAGACAGATGAGTCCAGGAACATATTCATTTTGACTGATAATTGAGCGTTGAAGTTCTGAAATGAGAGATTGCTTGCAAATGTTCAGAACAATACAGAAATCAAATAAATAGAAAATTAGGAGATTTTTGGGATTTCTATAAAAGAAAATGAAGAGAAGGCAATGAGTGCAATGAATTTTCCAATAGAGTTAGGTACCTTTGCTACCATCATTGACGATTATACATTAGATTTATCAAACTAACAGTTCTATGAGAGCCAATAGTTCTATCAGAGCTATCAGATCTATCAAACTAATAGTTCTTTCAGTTCTATCAGAACAGTTCTATCAGAGCCAATAGTTCTATCAGGGCTATCAGATCTATCAAACTAATAGTTCTTTCAGTTCTATCAGAACTAATAGTTCTATCGGAGCTATCAAATCTATCAAACTGATAGTTCTGAAACAAATTAATAGCCTTTATTTCAATTTTCTTTCTGAAATCAACTATATATAAAGCAGTCCGTCTGTTCGTCCGTCTGCCATTGGCAAAAAGGGGGTTTTGATTGCGTGGAAAACGTGGACCTCCCAGTGGGAAAAGCGAACGTTAGTGAGCGTTTTCCGCTGTGGTTAATGTTTAGCGCTGTTGCCCGATAAGCGAAAGGTCGCTGATTCGAGTCCCGACGGCGGCCAAGTTTTTGATCTGCCCTAGTTCCACCTATTTTCCTTTTTGCTACACTTGTCTTTAGCTGAAATATTTGTAACATTTGTACATCTAATTCCATTAAAACTATTCTATTTACTTTTCAAAATAAACTTATAGCAAGATATAATATATTGTCTGAATAAGTACCAAACATTGACTCTCTTTAAACTCCTAGACATAATTGAGTTAACTCAGAATTTGCGAACCAAAACACAATCACTAAACGGATGGATTTATTAAGGTATATTTATGAGTAAACATTAATCTAAAATTCGCCAAAAATGTTAGAGAAAGAGAAATTTTCTCTCTCTCGCACAAAAGTTAGTGATCTCCCATCGTCACTCGCTTTGCGTTTCATTTTTCTTTTTTTGCTGAGTTTGAGCCACAGAGAAAACCTTGAGAATATCGATTTGAAAAACTACATGAGAAACAAGGGATTTATCTAGAGATCACTGAAAATATCAGTTGCAATCGAAAAATTATTTGATTGTTGACGGTAAATTTGAACCGGAAATAACGTTTACAATTCAAATCTAAAATTCAGTAGATGAAAAAGATTGATAATGATCAAAAAGCTTTGTACTGATAGTACTGTTTGATTTAAAAAATGAGTAAATGTTAATGCTAATGTTCTCACTGACTAGTGTAAGTATTAGGTTCTTCGGATATAAACAATCGTTGCTAAAATTTTTGTTGTGAGAGAAGCCTTTAAAATCTTTTAAAACATGTCTTTCTGTATTTAAAAGTGCGTTATCTTGTGCATATTTGGAATCTTTTTAAATGAATAATTTCTTATTTTTAAGATCTTTTTTCTTGCTTTAGATGACCGTCTTCAAATATCAAGTTCGCGTCTGCCTACTTTATGACTTCAAACTGGGCAAAACAGCCGCGGAATCCCATCGAGATTTGGTCAAAGCATTTGGGAATGATGTATTGTCCGAAAGCCGATGCCGAGTCTGGTTCGAACGCTTTCGGAATGGTGATGAAAGTCTCGGGGATGATGAACACTCTCGTCGACCACAAGGGGTAGACAACGATATTTTGCGGGCTACAATCGAACCGGATTCATGTCAAGTGACGCGTGAACTTGCTCAACAGTTTCTATGTTCAAATTCTATCATTGATGAGCATCACCACGCCATTGGAAAGATGATGGGGGAAATGGCTTCCTCACGAGTTAAGCAGTGCAAAAAAGGCTTTCACGGGCCGCTATTGCCGGAATCCTCATCCGCCACGCTAAATATCATGGCTTTTTTTGGTTCTATCGTTACTGGAGATGAGAACTGGATTCATTTCAATAATACTATTCGAAAACGGAAATGACTAGGATCAGGAGAACGGTCAAATCCGACCGTGAAACCGGACATTCATGGGGGAAAGATCATGCTCTCAGTATGGTGGAATAACAAGGTCCTTGTGTATTTCGAGCTTCAACAAACCGGCCAAACAGTCACATCCGACCTCTACAAACAGCAACTTGATCGGGTCAATGAAGTTCTCATTCGTCAAGGAGTAGACACATCAAAGATAAAGTTCATCCATTACAACGCTAGACCTCACGTTGCAAAGATGACTCAGCAAAAACTAGAGAATCTAGGATGGGAGGTTTTACCACATCCGCCGTATGCTCCCGATTTGGCTCCCTCAGATTACCATTGATTCCGGTCGATTCAAAACTTTTTGGCCAATGAGAAATTCAAAAACCGTGAAGATGACCAAAATTGGGTCGCCAAGTTTTTCGAGTCACAGCCGGCTGAGTTTTTCAAGAGCGGCATCAATTCTTTGCGCAAAAGATGGCAGGAAGCAATCAATAATAATGGTGAATATACTTTGGATTAAACTGTGTTGTTTCTGTTTTTAAGGTAAATTTTGTCGACTACTAAAACGCTCGTTTATATCCGAACAACCTAATAGAATGGTTCTTTTCAATTAAGACAATAAACACAGGAGCTTGAGTCAAAGAAGTTACAGTAGCTTTGGAAAACTATCGTAATTTTGTCAGCTTGTCATAATAGATACTAACTATAGACAAGATTACAGTAGTCTTCAAAGGATTTCATCTAAATATCTATAGAAGATGAAATCCGAAATCATCTGAATATCCGTTAGAGCAAAGATCTAATAATGGTATCTAATAATAATGATCTAACAACCCAATTCAAAAGAAAGAGACCTTATAATTCAGATTTTATAATGGAGAAATAAATGACCTAATTTAAAACAAAGCAATTTCTAAAAATTAATCATTCAAAAACTTTATTATCATTGGCTTTTCAACGAACTTTTAATCTCAAACAAAGATTTTTCTAAAAACAAATCTTCTTTTAAAGTTTTACTTATAACAAAAAGAAACTAGAATGAATTTCAAAACTAGAATTTCAAAACAAGTTTACTTTTCTATTTTATGATTGAGTGATGTGATTTTAAGATCATTTCTATCCATCAACATTGATTTTCAAAAGAATCTAGGCAAATATTTTGCTGAAAATGTAACAAATGATCGTAATGATATGAAAACTTTAAGAAAAGAATGTCATATTCAAATATATAATCAAAATAAGACAACCAAACAACGAGAAAACTAACTAGAACTAGAAAGAGAGACAACTAAACCTGGCCTCAGAAAATCTTAAGAAAAATAGGCTTCACTGAGTTTTCTTGAGTTTTTCTTAAAGTTCGAGTGTCCCTAACAATCACTTTTCGTCTAGGAATGTCATTTGTTGTGTTTTCGTTAATTGATTGACTTTAAAATAAATGAATGATCAGTGAATCAGAAATTTGTAGAAAGTAGTTTGATCGAAATAAGGTTAATGATTCAAATTTTAAGTACTATCCGGTTATAAATCCCGGTATTGTAGATCCTTATCTAGAACTTTTGGAGGAAAAAAGTGTGGATAGTTTAAGTATCAGTTATGTTTAGATTTAAAGTAAATACAGCCATAAAATCTCTACTGAAACTTAAAATCCACTAAATTTCAATTTTTAAGTTTAAAATAGTATAAAACAAGTTTTAAAATAGTATAAAACATTAAAATTCTGTATTTAGATGAGATTTACCTAAAGAGATTAGAGAAAAGATTACAATTAACTTATCAGAGCTTTAATTTAAACCATGAATTGAAATCAAAAGTCAATCAAAGCCAAAAACGAAAAAGAAAGTAATGCTGGTGTTTGTTTTTGAGTAAAAAAATAAAACGTTGAAGAGAAATGGAGTTTCTCTGTTTTCTACTTTTGTTGTCTAATTCCCTCTTTTCTCAAGCAATCACTTTCCCTCACTGTGTAGGACTCACAAGACTCCAAAACAGAGACCAACGAAACACTTGTGATCAATTTTTGACTTCATAAACTGATCACTTCTTGTGTGACAACAGGAGACTTTAGCCTTGATCTATGTTTTTGTGACACTCTAAAGGATTAGATTCAGAAAGGCTTATGATATTTATTCATTTATTGTCAGAAACGAATATTGTAAGCTCAAAAATGATTTGTTAAAATTGTTGAATAAAAAAGTCATTTAAAGTTCTAAATAATTCACACAAAATCAAATTAAAATTCTAATTTCTAAATTAAAATGATTAAAACAGAATTCAGAAACAGAAAAAGCTTTTCAAGGCATTGATAAGCTTTGGAAAAGAGAACTTTCATTTCAAGATATCAAATGAAATCAATAAAATGAGCTTAAACAGATTCTCGAATTTTGAAGTCTTTTGTGATATGATAATCTTATGATCTGATTGTCATTCTTTATTTATATTAAATATAAATAACTTAGAAACTTTGTATATAGATATAAACCGTATTTTCTCTAATAGTAGTGCACCCTAAGCGTTGCCTAAATAGCTCGAAATCTTGAGAACAGCTTATCAGAACCTATCAATGTGGAGTCGGAAAATGTAGCTGACGATGAGATCTAGTGGAGGATTTGAGTGTTGAGCTTCTGCAAAAGCTTGGAAACCGTAAAATAGTCACCAACTCGGCTCGCCGGGTGCGCTACTATTAGAGAAAATATGGTATAAAAAGTTGATAAAAAAAAAATATCCGCAAAAAAAAAAAAAAAAAAAAAAAAAAAAAAAAAAAAAAAAAAAAAAAAATTTTTTTTATAAAAAAAAAAAAAAATATTATAAAAAAAAAAATAAAAAAAAAAAAAAAAAAAAAAAAAAAAAAAAAAAAAAAAAAAAAAAAAAAAAAAAAAAAAAAAAAAAAAAAAAAAAAAAAAAAAAAAAAAAAAAAAAAAAAAAAAAAAAAAAAAAAAAAAAAAAAAAAAAAAAAAAAAAAAAAAAAAAAAAAAAAAAAAAAAAAAAAAAAAAAAAAAAAAAAAAAAAAAAAAAAAAAAAAAAAAAAAAA